TTTCCCCAGCCACTCTGGGCGGCTCCCAGTCGAGTGTTAAAAACAATACAGCATTAAACATTAAAAGCTTCCCTAAACAGGGCTGCCTTCAGATGTCTTCTAAAAGTTTGGTAGTTATTTTTCTCTTTGACATCTGGTGGGAGGGCGTTCCACAGGGCAGGTGCCACTACCGAGAAGGCCCTCTACCTGGTTCCCTGTGAACTCACTTCTCACAGCAAGGGAACCGCCAGAAGGCCCTCGGCGCTGGACCTCAGTGTCCGGGCAGAACGATGGGGGTGGAGACGCTCCTACAAGATTCTGGATGTTGTGCAGTTTCCCTTTGACTCTAAATCTACATCTGGAATTGTTCAGAGCACGAATGAAGCTGGCCAGCTTACCCTCATGAAGAGCACACCTGCTCAGAATTGCTTAGCTGTGGAAGGAGTCAGAACCCCAGTATTGTTTGGGTACAGCATGCTGTCTGGATGCCAACTACGGTAAGGGCTGAAACCAGTCTTGTACTTAGACATGCCATATGCCATTTCCTACTCTTAAAAGGTAAGGGGACCCCTGACAGTTAAGTCCAGTCATGAATGGCTCTGGGGTTGCGGCACTCATCTCCCTCTATAGGCCGAGGGAGCCGGCGTTTGTCCGCAGACTTTTTCCCCGGGTCATGTGGCCAGGTTGACTAAGCTGCTTCTGACGCAATGGAACACTGAAAACAGAGCAGCACACAGAAACGCTGTTTACCTTCCCGCCAGAGCGGTACCTATTAATCTACTTGCACTTTTTGGGGTGCTTTCGAACTGCAAGGTTGGCAGGAGCTGGGACCGAGCAATGGGAGCTCACCCCGTCGTGGGGATTTGAACCGCCGACCTTTTGATCGGCAAGCCCAAGGCTCAGTGGTTTAGACCACAGCGCCACCCGCGTCCCATTCCTATTCTTACTTCCATGCTTAATAAATTGTTTATCACAGTGTTGGGTTGCAAGGAAAATTCTGGCATCTCACTTAGAGGAGTCGCAGAGTTCCATGCCCCTTGGGTGCTTCCATCTTGAATTTTGTACTTTGCTTCAGCAAGCATGGTCTAATACAGTTCCTTGACACACACTGCTCCCTCCTCCTGCTGTGTCCCTTCCAATAGCCTTTGCTTGGGCATTTCTAAAAGAAAGAAAGAGGTCTCTCCTGCAATGATTTCAGATGTGGTGGCTGTAGAGCTGATTCCCACCATACTAGGGACAGGCCCGGCAGGCCCATGAGGCAAGGCGAAGCAAATGCCTCAGGTGGCTGGATCCACAGGGGCAGCAGATTGGGTAGCCAAGGAATGCATTGCCTGCTGCTGCTGCTGCTGCTGCTGCTGCTGCTGCTGCTGCTGCAACAACAGCTGCATGCTCTTTGGTGACCAGATCTGCTGCTGCCTCCTCAGCAGCACACACCTCACAAAGCCACATCTTCAGCAGCCTCTTGTTCCTGGTATAGATCTTCAATCACCCCTTCTTCCCTGGTGTGTTTGAGGGCAGGGAGCCATTTTGTGGTTTGCTTCAGGTACCAAAATGGCTTTGGTCAGCCCTGGCCAGTGGGGTGGGCACTTGCCACCCCCTGCTCAAAGTGTCACTCTGGCAAAACTGAGTTGCCAGCCAAGGTTGCATTTCCACTGTTAGGGCAATTGCCAGTTTACCGACAGCAGACCCCCCTCTTTGCGTTTATGCTAACTTCTTTGAAATAAATGAAACTCACCTTTTGACTCAGGTAGACAAAATGGAGGAAAGGGAATGGTGTAAGTGATTTATTGGTTTTCTTTCTCTCCGCCCCCACCCCCCAAATATACAACCCCACCTTCCATCGCCAGTAGCACCGTCGCATTGAGTAGAATAGCCAAAGATGGGAATGGCGTGGTTAGACTGCTCCACATGTAGCCTTTATGTGCTGCTCTTGAAGAGTGGTTCATTAGTTGGTTGCCGTCCAGCACTGTTGACACAGAAATTTCTTTTCTGAAAGAATTACCAAGGATGCGGACTGCAGGCTCTTGGCCCCAGCGCTCCTGAGTGTGCTGAAGGGTCAAAACTTCCCAGACTACGTGGCCTCTTTTGGAGATTCTCTGCCCCAGAATGAACTGGACTGGCTGCAAATTTCTAACAACGTCACCGAAGCGGTAAGAGTATGTCCACCCTGCCCTAAGTCAATATGGGTAGCCACGAGGTAATTTTACTACTTTTGGCCCTCTAACTTCTTCACCTGACTCAACTGCATTTTAAGTTCCATCTTTATCTGGGGAAATGTAACAGCTGCAATCCAGGAGGGTCTTCAGTAGCATAAGTGGGGATGGGGATCCATTTCAGGCAGTTGGAACGAGCCTGAAGCTCTCTGTCTTTTTGCCAATGATGCCTTGTAGCTAGCAAAACGTCTGTCTCCTTTTTCAGAGCACCTGCGAAATCCCCGTGTCATTTCAAATAGAAGTGAAATGGACTAAATATGGCTCCTTAGTTAACCCCCAGGCGAAAATCGTGAGTCTCACGGCAACGGTAATGACAGCCGCCTTGCCCCAGGTGGGTGGTGATCTCCTGTGATAGAAGGGAGCTCCTCGCATGTATTTTTAACTAAATTGGCTTTCACATTTGCAAGGTTCCATGTCTGTATATGAGACAGATGTCTGGCTAATGAAACTGGCTTTTCCCACTCAAAGGGAAATCTTGGCACGTTGAAGGTTCTTTTCGCGCTTCCGCTCTAAAGGTGGCATTGAAATGGTTGCCTCAACATACTTGGAAGGAAGCTTTATGGACTCCTGGGGTTCTGTAGGAGGACCTGCTAAGCAGCCGTCCTTTTTAACTGTGGCGGTGGCTGGAACCCTGCAAGTTCCTTGTGGCTAAAGTGGAAAGAGGGAGGAAGGGACTCTCAGAAATATGGGTGGAACAGAAAAAGAGAGAGAGCGGAAAGAGCGAGGTCCTTCCCAGCGGCCTCTTTTCCCCAGCTGCCACCTCCCCACCCTTGCACTCCAGAAGCCAGCCAGCCAATCATTCGGCATGGGAGAGACTCTTCCACTAGCCTGTTTGGGCCTCTTTGCATTGCATGTTTCTTTCATTAGGTGCCTTGAGCTTTTGTTGGTAAAGTAGGAGAATAAATGTGATTGAATAAGCAGCATGGGACTGCTGCTGAAAGCAACCACTGCCCCTCTCTTCCCGTGGTACAGCTTGCTTTGCCCGCTGGTGCCCATGCCCTGTGTGAGTTCCCCCATGGCCACGTACCCTCGGAGCAGCCAGTGGTGTGGCGCTGGAGGTGGGGCATGCAGTATAATGACATCAGGACTCAGGGTAGATTGTACTACATATTAACAAGGAGCAGGGGCAACAAGATGCAGAGTTGCCATTTTCAGCAGGAGCCCTGTGTTTCTTGCATTTTATCTCTCCAGCATGCCTGTTGTGTCTTCCTTTCAGTTCTGAAACTAGCTGCTGCTAAACCCCACAATAGCTGGAAAGGAAATGTTTTTGTACTGAGTTGGTGCTCTAAACATCCACAGTCCTGATCTTAAAGCTCTCCTGACCTTGGCTCCTTATCATATATATTCTGCCAGCTAACACTGACACAACAACCTCTTTTCTTTTGGAGCGCAGCATTTGACCTGTTCTGCATGATTCATTCTGTGAAGTGAAACATTTCTTTGGCCTGTCCTAAGCAGACGCGGGTGGCGCTGTGGGTTAAAGCCTCAGCGCCTAGGACTTGCCGATCGAAAGGTCGGCGGTTCGAATCCCCGCGGCGGGGTGCGCTCCCGTTGCTCGGTCCCAGCGCCTGCCAACCTAGCAGTTCGAAAGCACCTCCGGGTGCAAGTAGATAAATAGGGACCGCTTACCAGCGGGAAGGTAAACGGCGTTCCGTGTGCTGCGCTGGCTCACCAGATGCAGCTTGTCACGCTGGCCACGTGACCCAGAAGTGTCTGCGGACAGCGCTGGCCCCTGGCCTTAAGTGAGATGGGCGCACAACCCCAGAGTCTGTCAAGACTGGCCCGTACGGGCAGGGGTACCTTTACCTTTACCTTAAGCGGAGCCAGAGTGTGGAATGCATCTGCCTGTCTCTTGCAGGTTGACTCAGGAAGCGAACAAACAATCCAGATCTTCAGCTCTGCCACTTTTGTTGACGTCTCTGCTCCTGCTGAGCCGGGTTACAAAGCACGACCACCCATCGAAGCCAACTTGCCCTTCGACTTTTTCTTCCCATTTGTTTAGTCGCAGCATGAACTGCTTCTTCCTTCCTTTTCTCAAAGCGAGAGGGAACCAGGTTTCAAACCACTCTTCCACTGGGATCAAAGATCCTTCCAAAATATTGACTGGCTGCATGTCTGAAAAGGAGTGTGTGGGGGGAAAGGAGCCCCAAATAAGCCATGGCAGGGTTGGACTAGAGGAAACAAAGCAGCAACTCCCCTCCATAATCCTGTTTAGCAGTGAGAGAGAGGGGTCCATCAGCAAACGCAGCTTCCATCATGCGCTACAGTGGAAGTTTTGTGGAGTACAGCTCAACTCCCGTGCTGTGCCTACCCCCAGGACAGAGCCATTCCACCCCTCCTCTTGTAATTCGTGTGTAGTCACCATCTTTGCAGGGAATTGTAAAGGAAGGAGCTGTGAATCAAGATGGCTATACTTTGCTTCCACCTCTCCTGGGAAGCTCCAGTTCCCACCACTACCGCCCCCCCAACACACACACTTGAATTGTACTACACACCCTGATATTTCTTCTGAATTTGTTTTCCCCATGTTTTCCATTCTTCAGAACTACTAACTCTCCAAAGCCCACTGCATGTTCCTATATTCGTTTCCATGGTCCTGCAAGTAGGAAGAGCTTATTGTAAGACATTGCTTTATATTTTATTTTATTTATTAGACTAAAGGAATTGCTCTGTCAGGCACACCCAGGAATTTGGGGGGTTGGGGTTGGGGGAAAAGGCCACTGACTCACCTGCCATCTGTCCTCCTTGCTCTTTAGGTACTTCAATAGTAACTTGCAGTTTTGTGAAGCTAATCAATGCCAACCAGTCTCACAGATTTGACTTTTATTAAATTATTTTTGCTATTTTTTAAAAACTGTACAGCTGTACAATTAAAGATTGTAATAATTGGTTTTCAGATATGTGGATATTATTTTCTTTTTCAACACTTGAGTCTTAACAAGCAAGAGGGATAGAAGGTTGTTCTAGGCATGGAAGGGAATGTACAAAAGAGTAGTTCAAAATGGCACAGTATGGAAACAAAATTAGCTTCTCCGTGGCGGCACTGGCTCCGTTGGGCCCCAGGATGGCACCTTATCTGGACTGGCCGACAAGTCCATGTTGCTTCAACACAGCATTAAGTCTTTCGATTTCCAGTTCCTGTTGGAGAAAAGTAATTCTGAGGTCAGTTTGGGAGGCTGTTTATGAGGAACCAGAGGACATTCCCCCAGCTTTGAGGTGCGGGGGAAGAAGCAAAGATGGAAAAAAATGTCAGAACTTAATCACTTCGTAACAGCCTCTCAAGCAGCTTTTCAGAAGGCTAAATGGAAAACCAACCTAGGTGAACACTCAGCATAAATCACATCCTAGGAATAACCTGATCTTGTGCGCTGTAATGGAGAACAAATTACATACAGCCTTTGATTGCTTGCATCACCCACTAATCCTCTGCAGCACAAAGAGGCAGCCAGCTTATTCTGCCCCAGTCAGGAGTGGTGGATATTCACTGGCTACCCCATGAAACCCCCACAAAAGGCAGACACCGTGAGCATGCATTAGGGCCATGTGGTAGCTGCCCTCTCTCAACTCCAGGGATGGGACCTTGGGAGCCCAAGACTCTCTGGAGGGCACCAATTTCTCAGTAGGGTGGCCAGCAGCCAGGGGTGGTGGCAGCTCTGGTCCAGCAACATCTTGAGCGTCACAGGGTCCCTCTACTTGCTCTAGTCAGTGGGAGCACATTGCAAGATCCACCTGACTCTCCACTTCCTAAAATACGGTGATTTGTTCAAGAGCACTAAACGCCTGTTTAGACAGCTAAGGGAGCCTGGAGCACAGAAGCAAAACTTAAGAGACAGCAGGGAGAGCATCAGCTTAGAGGGGCTCTTGATGTTCTCACCTCTCAAAAGGCATACAACAGTGATGGGGAACCTCCAGCCCATGGGCCTAATCGCATGGTCCGTGTCCTAACTTGTCACATGCATCTGCTTTCCCTAAGCCACACTCACCTGCCATGTGCCTGGCATCAAATACGAGGTCGGGTGTGAGGCTGCTAAAGCTGCTCCCTGTCCTGTGCCTTTGCTGCTATGACTTAATTTCAAGCTGACTCAGTTACATGCAGCTGGATCAGAGCTTCAGCCACTGAAAACATGGCCTTACCTTCTCTGCACAGCTAGCTTCCATCTCCTGGACCTTTAGGGTGAGTTGCAGGTTGGCTTGCTTCAGCTTGGACACCTGCTGCTCAGACCGTGTTTTCACTGACAAGATGATTCCTTGGGGAATGGATACAGAGGACAAGAAAGTTAGCCAGGCCCTATTGGCTGAGACTCAGGGATCACCTTCCCGAGCTCTTTACAGCGGTTATCCTCACAATTGTCCTCTAGGATGTTCCTCTCACCGGAAAGAGGAGAGGGAGGCTGGAGAGGAAGCAGCTGGAGCTGAATCAAGGCCCTCCAGCTGCAGGTCCAGTTTTATCTGTTGGTTTGCAAGCAGACTAGTATTGCCAAGCATTTTGGGCTAAGTCACAAGAACCTACATGTGGAAACAGTCTCAGCAGACCCAAGGGAAGAATGGCCATGGAGGAGGCAGAAAGGGTGAAAACAAGGGACAAAGCCATGAGTCGTGTGCACTCTGGTTAGGAGGGGCCTGGAGGCCTGGGAAGAGAGGTCAACGATACCAGGAAGAGGGGACTGGATTTGAATGATCCAGAAGTCTCAGGACTTCCTCTGCCCACAATCAAATTCTGCTATACAATCTATTTTAGAACAATGGATCAAGGATATTGATTGCCAATATTCTTTCTCATGTGCTCACATTATTTGCTTTCTAGTAATTTTTTTAGATTGACATGCGTTTTCTAGATATGCCACATATCTAGGTCATTTGACAAAGTATCGCCAGGCCTTTTCCAGGGCCAGATTTAACCACCTCCCTCCTACAGTACAAGCAGTCCCATGTGAGGACTGTTTGTGTCCTTGTGGAGATAGGAAGTAGTCAAAACTTTGGGTCAGGTCTTTGTTGAATGTAATCTTCATAGAGAAGGTCACAAGAGATTATTCCCCCTCTCCAAAATAAGGAAGCATCTTGGAAGGTCACTGGAACAGTACTCGGGATATTTCTCGGCTGATACAAACAAGTTAATAACAGAGATAATGGCCAAGTTCCTGTTCTCTACTCAAAGGTCTTGTACACTGATTCTAACTGCAATTTGTATCTCAAATTTTATCTTTGTACCATGTACTATGTAATATATGTTATAGTCATTTGCTTCATATTGTAAGTGAATGTTTTAAATTGTCAACTGTTCTATTTTAATGGGTCTGTGGCCAAATAATGAAATGATTAAGAAGAAGCCTAGCTGCAAGTTTGTTGTTCAGGCAATACTTGGGACGGCAAACAATGGCTTCCTTCAAGAAATTCCCGCATGGATATTAGTGCCTGTGTACTGTGAATGGTTCCATACCAAAATCCATCTATTCCTCAAGATTTACCATTTATAATCCTGGCCACTCTCCACAGTCTAAGAAGGATCAGTAATCCAAGTGCTTCAAACTCATGCTCCCGGAAGAGAAGGACAATGTCAAGAACGAATGAGATGATGACAACGATGGCATCCAGGACCTCAAACTTGTGATGGAAGAACTCCAACCGGTAGACGAAGAGTTTGAAGAAAATTTCCACCAGAAAGAGGGTGAGGATGCTAAGGCTCAGGTAGTGGAACACCTGCCAGGGTGCAAGGAGGGCAAGGCAAAGGTTAATACACTTTTAACAACACCTGGAGAGCAAGCAGTAGATTTTGAGTGAGGATAATAAAAATAAAAATAAATTTATTATTTATACCCTGCCCATCTGGCTGAGTTTCCCCAGCCACTCTGGGCGGCTCCCAATCAAGTATTAAAAACAATACAGCATTAAATATTAAAAACTTCCCTAAACAGGGCTGCCTTCAGATGTCTTCTAAAAGTCAGGTGGTTGTTTATTTCCTTGACATCTGCTGGGAGGGCATTCCACAGGGCGGGCGCCACTACCGAGAAGGCCCTCTGCCTGGTCCCCTGTAACCTCACTTCTTGCAATGAGGGAACCGCCAGAAGGACCTCGGAGCTGGACCTCAGTGTCCGGGCAGAATGATGGGGGTGGAGACGCTCCTTCAGGTATACAGGACTGAGGCAGTTTAGGGCTTTAAAGGTCAGCACCAACACTTTGAATTGTGCTCAGAAACGTACTGGATATACAGTCGTAGCTCGGAAGTCGAATGGAATCCATTCCAGAAGTCCGGTCAACTTCCAAAATGTTTGGAAACCAAAGCGTGGCTTCTGATTGGCTGTAGGAAGCTCCTGCAGCCAATCGGAAGCCACGGAAGCCCTATCGGACGTTCGGCTTCCAAAAATAGTTCACAAACCAGAACAGTCACTTCCGGGTTTGCAGCACTGAGAAGCCAAAACATTCAGGAACTAAGCTCAAGGTACGACTCTACTGGCTTTATCCAGTGGCCCTTTTGCTGCTGAAATCCAACCTAGCCGATGCAATATTTACAGCACTTGTTCCAAGATCTGTTTGCAGAACAGCACAGGGATGCTATTGCTTCACCCAGAGTTTCAAATACTTTTCCCAGCTTTAGATTCTACCATGGGGAAGAGAAATACCTACTGGAGCTAAATCTACCTTTACTCCACAAAGCATTTACAGCCCTATAAAGTCTTAATTTTCTGGAAGGGAGATTCAAGAAAATCCCCAGAGATCAACCCTTTTTGCATTTGTGGAAGCCCCCCGTTGAGAACTCCACACGCTATGTGATATACTCTAAACTGTACAAAACACCTAGGCATAAAGATTCAGAGAAATATTTAGCATTGCTTCCTACCCTCATTGTTATGGATAAGATTAAATATCCGTTGTCTAGTTCAGATAGGTCTGCAACATCTAATGCAGCTAAATTTACAGTGGAGGCTGCTCAACTAACAAAACGCCTTCTGGCCTCCCTTGAGATCTAAGATTCCGTTTTTTAATGTATGTTTCATTTATTATACAGGTCAAGTTTTTATCTTTATATAGCGTTATTCGGTATATTTCAGGTTCATACATTTCTACTTGGCTCCAACCTGTATTTGGCTTCCTTCTTATTAAATTTGAAAAAATGTGAATGTTAGGACACCAAACACCACAACGCAACCAAAGAAAAATATTCTGTAGCAAACTATGAGATGGGTGGGTCACACGTACATACACACCTCCCCATATTTGCTTCACAGAGAAAGGGCACTACACAAATCTCTTCAAGTATTGTCAGGGAACTGACATCAGAGACACGGGAGAAGGAGAGGGTCTCCGATTCTGCAGGTGAAGGTCCTAGCACAAGGGGGAGACTCAGCTTGGTGGAAGGGGAAGAAAATACGCGTGACACCAAGAGTCCAGGAGAGCAATTGGAAGAGGAGGTGGAAGGGCTCCAGGGATTCTTCCCTGGAAGTCAGTGAAGAGAGCCCAGGCACTCCGCTACCCACGCCCACCCTGCGCAGGAGACTCCCGCGCAATGAGAGGCGGAGACGATTAGGTGTCAAACAGCTTTTATGCTGGCAGAGGTTTAAGAAACGCCCACAGACAGATTCTGCCAGTGACTGAGGCAGTCAAGCGGAGATGGGCTGTGCAGTCCGAAGGGTTTAACCAGGCAACCAAGCACCCAAACGGGGTCGGCTTACGCACGAGTAACTCCAAACCACTACAAGTATATACCGTATTTTTTGCTCTATAAGACTCACTTTTTCCCTCCTAAAAAGTAAGGGGAAATGTGTGTGCGTCTTATGGAGCGAATGCAGGCTGCGCAGCTATCCCAGAAGCCAGAACAGCAAGAGGGATTGCTGCTTTCACTGCGCAGCGATCCCTCTTGCTGTTCTGGCTTCTGAGATTCAGAATATGTTTTTCCTTGTTTTCCTCCTCCAAAAACCAGGTGCATCTTGTGGTCTGGTGCGTCTTATAGAGCGAAAAATACGGTACATGCATCTCTACAGGTCTAGCAACTGGCTTATTTTAAAAATGAGAAGTTACGGTTATGAGGAAGCTGGATTCTACACCTCACAGAATTGCAACACACTGTCTACACGAACCATGATTTATTTGCAGATTCCTCCCTTATTGCCCTTACCTTGGGTGCAATCTCGTGTTTGTCAGGGTGGATGATTTTCAAGTCCAAAAGCAGTTCCCCGAGGACCAGTATGGCGTCCAAAATAACCAGGCAGACAACTAAGATCTGGGAGAGGAAGAACCAAGACCAGAATAAATATGCAAACCTTTGAAGCCAAGCAGAAGATTGCAAAGTCGAGGCTTGGTGTTCATCAGCCATGGAAGAAAGGTGGCAGCTGGGATGAGGAGAACGAGGCAAAAGCTGCGGCTCACGTGTGGTGGTGTAGACCATTAGGCTCTGCACCAAGGAGACCTAGAGAATGACTTGGCCTTGGGCAGCTCACTGTCTTTCAGCCTAGTGCAGGGGTCAGCAAACTTTTTCAGCAGGGGGCCGGTCCACTGTCCATCAGGCCTTGTGGGGGGCCGGACTATATTTTGGAAAAACATGAACGCATTCCTATGCCCCCCAAATAACCCAGAAATGCGTTTTAAATAAAAGGACACATTATACTCATGTAAAAACACGCTGATTCCCGGACCATCCGTGGGTTGGATTTAGAAGGCGATTGGCTGGATCCGGTCCCTGGGCCTTAGTTTGCCTACCCATGGCCTATTGCACCTGGCAGGAAAGTTGAGAGGCTCCAATGAAGACTCCTCTTTAAAACCACACGAAATTGCTTAGAGCTGGGATGCAAGTTTAATGATATTGTTCGCCATTTGGGATAACTAGGGTCGTGTGAAGCATATCTGGCACCGTGGTTCAAAGATTCCTTGGCCCCCCCCCCCATTTCCCAGAGTTGCTCTCCTCCCACGGAGGCTTGGGAAGGAAGCTGCACGCCTGCCAGTCATATGGTTGACGGGGCACAGCTGGCGGGTGTGCAGGGAAAGGGGAGGCTGCCGGCAAAGCCACGCAGTTCCCCCACTGGCCCCTGGGAGGCCAGCGCCCTGGCGCAACGCGCCAGTAAGCCCAATGTATGGAAGTGAGAGCTGGACCATAAAGAAGGCTGAACGCCGAAGAATTGATGCTTTTGAATTCTGGTGCTGGAGGAGACTCTTGAGAGTCCCACGGACTGCAAGACGATCAAACCTCTCCATTCTGAAGGAAATCAGCCCTGAGTGCTCACTGGAAGGACAGATCCTGAAGCTGAGGCTCCAATACTTTGGCCACCTCATGAGAAGAGAAGACTCCCTGGAAAAGACCCTGATGTTGGGAAAGATGGAGGGCACAAGGAGAAGGGGACGACAGAGGATGAGATGGTTGGACAGTGTTCTCGAAGCTACAAACATGAGTCTGACCAAACTGGGGGAGGCAGTGGAAGACAGGAGTGCCTGGCGTGCTCTGGTCCATGGGGTCACGAAGAGTCGGACACGACTAAACAACTAAACAACAAGATACATACCTAGGCTTCCTTGTGCCATTGGCAAGGAGCTGTACCAGTGCCCCCCAGTCCCTTATGCCCAGGGCAAGGAGCTCTGCTGGGGCACCCAGAGGAGCCTGCCCACCTCACTGCCACCCAGAGAAGCAGAGAAGGTGCATTTAGATAAGTGTTTCCCAAGCTTGGCCCTCCAGCTGTTTTTGGACTACAACTCCCATCATCCCTAGCTAGTAAGACCAGCGGTCAGGGATGATGGGAATTGTAGTCTGAAAACAGCTGGAGACCCAAGCTTGGGAAACACTGATCTAGGCGCACCCCTGTTCCCTGTCTTCCTAGACTAAACCCCTTTCCCAGAACTGAGGAAGGCGAAGGGGAAATTAGGTTGAGGTGAGAGTTTGTGAAATTACAAAAAGTATACTGAATCAAAAATTCAACGTTGACCAAAATTAGTTTGTACATTAGTTGGAAAATAGCCCTGGATTCTCACATTTTGGGCTATTGTGTACAATCAGGTTTTTTTCCACATCACATTTTCTACCCACCTTCACCGGGATGGTGGTGTACTTTACATTTTTAAAATCACTTCCGGAGGTTAAGTACTTAATTCGTTCCGGAGGTCCCTTCTTAACCTGAAACTGTTCTTAACCTGAAGCACCACTTTAGCTAATGGGGCCTCCTGCTACTGCCGGAGCACGATTTCTGTTCTCATCCTGAAGCAAAGTTCTTAACCTGAAGCACTATTTCTGGGTTAGCGGAGTCTGTAACCTGAAGCGTATGTAACCCGAGGTACCACTGTAGTGCCTTTGAGGAAAAGGACACCCCAAGAACAAAAAAAAAAATGTGATTACCAGGAGAGCGCACCAAGTATTTGGAAACCCCAAGTTGACTGGGAGTTCAATTGCTCCTGCTGGTGGCAATGGCTGGTTATTCATGGTCACCAATTTAACCCTAGAAGCCTGCATCTTCTTTCCCTTCAAAGCTGGGCACTCCATACAACACTGAGGTCTCCTGGCCACCAATGTTTCCATTCACGTAAGAGCAGATACCTGCCACGTACCTGAAATTTGTGTGACTGGAACAACTTCTTCATCACCTCCCGGAAGGTTGGGGTCCTGGGGGAAGAGTCGATTTTGACGGCAGTCTCAGGGGTCTTTGCTTCCTCTTCCATCTCCTCTTCCTCCCATTTCCTGTAGTCATTGTTCCACTGAGCAGGATCATCCCCCACCACGGTGAAATGCTTCAGGTACATAGACATGGTGGCAGCTCAAATGGGCATCACCCTGTAGAAGCACACTGTGGAGGGAAAGCTTGAGAGCATCACTGCCTGAGAACACGACAGCTGAACTTCCTCTAAGGAATGACAATACAAAAGGATGCTAAGAAGAAGAAGAAGAAACCATGTGATCTCACAGTAAAAGACTATTTTTTTTAAATGTCTGGATTGTGTGTGGGGGGATGATACCTACTTCCCCATTCAGAGTTTGGAAATATCTGAAGCACCCTTGGAGCAAGCTGCATTTAAAAACAACCAGCAAGTTCCTGGGCCACATGGTTGAAGAGGTAGATTCAGAACCACTGTTTGGTTAAGAAGAAGAAGAGTTTGGATTTGATATCCCGCTTTATCACTACCCTAAGGAGTCTCAAAGCAGCTAACATTCTCCTTTCCCTTCCTCCCTCACAACAAACACTCTGTGAGGTGAGTGGGGCTGAGAGACTTCAGAGAAGTGTGACTAGCCCAGGGTCACCCAGCAGCTGCATGTGGAGGAGCGGGGAAGCGAACCCGGTTCACCAGATTACGAGACTACCGCTCTTAACCACTACACCACACTGGCTCTCTTAAGCAGGGGTGTTCCTGGGACCAACCCAATGCCCTATGTTTTGTAACCTGCCCTGTGCAGTTGCTCCTGGTGGAGACCATTTATCATGCGTGTCTTTTTGCTAAGGGCAACATTCAGCATCCTAAGAATTCAACTCCCCTGTAAAATAAGTTTCTAGCCTTTAAGGCAGCAATGGCTGATGGGATAAAAGAAATCAGAGGAAGGGGGCATGGGCTCAAGAGTAGAGCACCTTGGAGAAAGTCTCATTCCTGGCACCTCCATTTAAAAGGTTCTTGGGTACCAGGGCTGGGAGAAAGGTCGAAAGAGGCCTCAGGAACCTCACTGATAGAGACTGGGAAGAACATTGGGGTAAGGTAAAGGAAAAGGACCCCTGGACGGTTAAGTCCAATCAAAGGCAACTTTGGGGTTGCGGCGCTCATCTTGCTTTCAGGCCGAGGGAGCCAGCGTTTGTTCACAGACAGCTTTCTGGGTCATGTGGCCAGCTGGACTAAACCGCTTCTGGCGCGATGGGACACCGTGATGAGTGCTGCCAGAGCGCATGGAAATGCCGTTTACCTTCCCGCCACAGCAGTACCTGTTTATCTACTTGCACTGGTGTGCTTTCGAACTGCTAGGTTGGCAGGAGCTGGGACAGAGCAGCGGTTTGGCGTAATAGCCCAACTTGGTAGAAAGTAGCTTCCTGGTCCCATCAGCACCATACATTTAAAGCCCTATGATACCACTTTAAACAGTCACCCCCCTGCCCCAAATCCTGGGAACTACAGGGTGCTGAGAGTTATTAGGAGACCCCAATTCCTCTGCCTGAGCTGCAATTCTCAAAATGCCTTGGAAAGAGTGATTGTGTTAAACCACTTGGGGGGGGATTGTAATTTTGTAAACTGCTTAGAGGTTTTCTTACTATCAAGTAGTATATAAATTTTCAACCAACCAACCACCACCTGCTGCTTTATAAAGAAATAGAAACCAACCAACCAAAAAAACAAACCCCAAAAGCCCCTGTCCAATCCAAGAGGAACAATCTTCATTTTATTTTTGGTGGCAGGCAGGGTGGATGGTCGTGGAAGGGTGAGGAGGCAAAGGAATAAGGTCTCAAGGCAAGCAGATGGGATATCAGAATAGTCAGGCTGCTGGATCCGACCAAAGGGCCATCTTCTAATCCAGTGTCTGGCTTGCCAAAGCAGCCAACAAGATGCTGCCACGAAGTCCACAACCAGGACTTGGGCATACCAATCCTCTTCCCAGAAACCGGATACCGTGCCTGGGTAACAGCAGTTGACAGGTCTTGATACCAAGCCAGAGCATGGATCCATTTAGCTTCATAATGGCAACCCTGACTGACTCCAGGGGTCGCGCCTGGTGCCTTCTGCAGGCAAAAGAGACGCTTTGCTCTCCCACTCCCACGTTTCCTGAGACGTCATTTTCATTTCAGGGCAAAGGCTTGTGACTTTGCATTCGAGACAAAGGAAACCAGGGACTTTCCCCGGCTGACAGCTGAGGCTCTTTGCTATGACACAAGGCCGGCTGTCAGAGGGCCACAGTGTCGCAATCTGGAAAAGGCCACCATGTAAAAATCATGCCATGCTCTCGGTGGCGCATCACAGGGGAAATGAAGAATTCCTCCTGCACAGCCTCAAAGGCTGCAGTGCCAAAGGCTAAGGCCTAATAATAATAATAATAATAATAATAATAATAATAATAATTTATTATTTATACCCCGCTCATCTGGCTGGGTCCCCCCAGCCACTCTGGGCGGCTTCCAACAAAACACTAAATTACAACAACCTATTAAACATTAAAAAGCTTCCCTAAACAGGGCTGCCTTCAGATGTCTTCTAAAAGTCTGGTAGTTATTTTTCTCTTTGACATCTGGTGGGAGGGTGTTCCACAGGGCAGGTGCCACTGCCGAGAAGGCCCTCTGCCTGGTTCCCTGTAAACTCACTTCTTGCAGGGAACGTACTGGGAGCCAGTGTAGGTCTTTCAAGACCAGTGTTATGTGGTCTTGGCGCTCCCAGTCACCAGTCTAGCTGCCGCATTCTGGATTAATTGTAGTTTCCGGGTCACCTTCAAAGGGAGCCCCACGTAGAGCACATTGCAGCAGTCCAAGCCAAAGTCCTAGCCTCACGTCCCGTGAAGTCTGCCCCACCAAATCCAACAGGATTTACTTCTGAGCAGGCAGAGATAGCATTGTGCTGCATCGTAAAGCATCGATTTAAGAGGCAGCAAACAACTTTGCAGACCTACTCAGAATGTGCCCCACTGATCATATCCTGGACTTCTTTTAACAGCTTACATGGTTTGCTAATGTTCACACTGGCCAGATAAGCAAGATCAACAAGGATCAGCTCGCCTTCCTTGTTGAATCACTCTCACCTGACTGGTTAGAATGGAGCCAAGAGCCTTAGATAGATGGTTCTGGGGGACAATTCACTACCCCAAACAATGTTGTTGACTATCAAGCACCAGGGACAAAGAACAGGATGGGGTTGAGGCGCTATTTGTAGACTTCCTGGAGGCAACTAACCGGGCACTTATGGAAGCAGGAGGCTGGTCTAGGTGGACAGGAAACCTGTGGTCCTCCAGATGTTGCTGGATTGAAACTTCCTTCCGCCCCAGGTGTCATGGGAAATAGACAAGGAGGATGGAAGCTGTAGGCCAATAACATCTGGAGGACATCATGTTTCACCTCCTGGGTCCTGTGCTCCAGAAATTCTGCTTCTCTGGATCTATTTTTGTTCATAAAACCACCACAGGGCATTCATGGGATCCATCACTGTCCCCAGAGGCTCAGGTGGCCTCTGTGACAAGGAGCTGCCTGGTTCATTGGCTAAAACTGGGCATAGATGCCTTGGCCGCAGTACTCTGTGCTCTGATAACTTCCAGTCTGGGTCCTTGTGACATGCTCTGAAGATGACTCAGAAACTTCAGCTGCTTCTAAATGCAGCAGCCAGATTACTGGGCTGGGGATCCCCAAGAACAAAAATGGCCTTTGTATCAAGGCAGCTGCTTTTCTTGCCAGTTGGTTTCCAGCCCCAATTCAAGGGGTTTGAAGCCCCGAGTGACTTGGCCCTGAATTAGCTGAAAGACTGCCTCCTTCCCTATAGACCCACTCAGTGGATAGGGCCATAGCTGTCAACCTTCCCTCTTTTGGCAGGAAATTCCCTTATTCCAGCGCCGTTTCCCGCTGCTATCTGGGATTGTTAGATATCCCGTAGACTGTCCCTGGGACAGGTGAGGCTGCTGATCCCTTATTTCCAAATCTGAAAGTTGACAGCTATGGAGAGGGCTCTTGTGCTCATGTTCTGCTGCCTAGTTTCCCACTGGGTTCCCATCTGGTTGGCCACTGCAAGCAGCGCCGGATTCACGTAGAAGCTAAACAAGCTATAGCTTAGGGACCCACTCTCTTGGGGTCCCCCAAAAAAATTAAAGGGGAAAAAACCCCTGGATGTACATTTCCAAAATATAAGATAAAAAACAAATGAAATAAAACCTACAAACAGCAACAGTGTTTTGTGTTGTGTAGGCTCCTATGATGTGAGTAATGGGCCCCACCTGCTAGCCTGCTCCCTCAAATATCCCTGGTTTGCTCATTTCTATATATAGGGTGCCTACATTCTGCATGGATTGGTTGCATGGCAACATGTGCAAATGGCTTTAGATACCTATTAGGTCCATAAATTACCATATAGCATATAAAAAGGTAAAGGGACCCTGACCATTAGGTCCAGTCATGGCCGACTCTGTGGTTGCGGCGCTCATTTCGCTTTATTGGCCGAAGGGAGCTGGCGTACAGCTTCCGGGTCATGTGGCCAGCAGGACTAAGCCGCTTCTGGCGAACCAGAGCAGCGCACGGAAACGCCGTTTACCTTCCCGCCAGAGCGGTACCTATTTATCTACTTGCACTGGTGTGCTTTCGAACTGCTAGGTGGGCAGGAGCAGGGACCGAGCAACAGGAGCTCACCCCGATGCGGGGATTCGAACCGCCGACTTTCTTTTTTTATAAAATTTTTATTTGGTTTTCTGCTTTTATAAAGACAAAACATACACAAAAAGAAAACAAAGACAAAAACATGTATAAAATCAGCAAATCCCCATTTCATAACCTTGTTCCCTGACTTCCCCCCACCCCCCCTAATGCATCCCAATTTCAAAATTATGTCAGCAAGTTGATATTTCTCCTCTTAACAATCTTATTCATCTTATTTCCTTTTTTTTATAATAAAAATTAGTTTTCATAAGTTGGACTTAAGTTCTCTTCCATCGATTTTCATTTTATCTTAATTAAAAGTCATCTTAACCGAACCTAAAAGCCTTGAGAGTTTTTAAGAGTCTCTTCTTCCCTCCCTCCCTTCCCCGGTTTTTGTCCCTTCCCAATAAAAATCCAAATTCGAAGTTCTCAGCCTGGGTTCCTCACGTCCGAGGCTTTCAAATCTATTTCCGTTCCTCTCCGCCTGTCCTGTTGGTAGTCCTTTACAGCAGTCGTCAGATCTGGGAAGAGTTCTTTCACCATCAAAGTATGTCCTCCTCCAACAAGAAGATTCAAAGGTGGCTGCTGAAGTATTTCCACAAAGTCTATCTCTTCCAAGTCCAAGTCCAAACGGAGGCCCGAAGCATATTTCTTTATTTTAAATTCCTGTACTCCATTTTGTCTTGGGGCCTCCTCCTTCTTCTTCTGTATCTCTCGCAGACTTGTGATGAATATGTTCCCAGCGTCTCCTTGCTTGTATTCCACAGATGTCAACTTTTGGTTATTACTTCCCAGGATTACTTCTTCTTTTTCTTGTTGTTTAGTCTCTTCCAGCTCTGTAGATATTGTTTCCCAATCAGCTGTGGATTCTTTCTCATTATGGTCCTCAATACAAAGAGCAGAGTTGCCTGTTCCCAAGGTCATAGTCTCAAGTTGTTTGTTCATGGCCAAACTCTGCTCCTGTAAGATTCCCACCAATTGAAACATCCTTTCGATTTCCACTAGTAACTTTCCTTCCACAGCCATTGTATCCATTGTAGTTTCACAGAGTTCCCCCTAGGGGAATCTGGTTACTTATTTGCCTTTTCACCAACAATCCTTAAACTGATTATTATTACTTTGTTTCCAACAGTTTCAGCTCAATTGTAACTCGTCTTAGTCCATAAAAATCTTAAATGGCAATTTCTCACTTTAAACCGCCCGTTTGGCAGCTTTGACAGCTGTCAAACTCCGCAGCTCTAACGCAGGCACGAAGGCAGGACGTTCCCGAGCCCGGGAGGGGGGGTTGTTTAAAACAGAAGGAAGGTTTCCAAAACTCCACTCTCCTGCACAAAATTTTCCTTTAGTAAAATCTTGAAAGTTAGTGTCCTTTTTAACTCACCCCACCAAGGGTAGGCTCTCCAGCTTATCTCTTGTGTCGTTGCTTAGATGGTCTGCAAGGGGGGGGTGCGGACTTCCTTTTAGCACCCCCCCCGGTCGTCTCCAATTTAAGGTAAAATTTTCAAAAGTCCCAATCCGTCTTACTCACGGGTGATTCTTTCAGTCCAAATTTTCAAGGAAGGAAGTCAACGCTCTCCGGTCCTGGCTCGCGGCTTCGCTCCACCGAGGTAGCGATCGACTCTCAGTGCCACGCCACCCCCGTATCCCCTCCGCAGCCTTTAAAAAGGCTCTTTGCGAATCAGGGGGGCGCTTAAGGCACCCGCCGAGTCTTCAGTCCGCAGGCTCCGCGCCTGCGGTTTTTAAGGGTCCCCGCGTCGCCGGCGCGGCAAAGACCCATCCTCAGTGGAGCCGATTCCCTCCGGAGCTCGGAGGGAATCCGCCATTTCCAGATCGCGTCAACCCGGAAGTCCCGAACCGCCGACTTTCTGATCGGCAAGTCCTAGTCCCTGTGGTTTAACCCACAGCGCCACCCACGTCTCTGTCCCGTAATACTAGAGCCAAAAGACACCATCCAATGAAGCTGAATAGAAGGAGATTCAGGCTAGACGAAAGGATGGGCTTCTTCACACAAAAGTTAGAAGATTCTACAGATCCACAGAGAAAGAAGCCTAGCAGCTGCTAGGAGTCATGACGGCTAAATGGAACTTCCAGTTGCAGGGGAAGTATATCCCTGAATGCCAGGCACCAAGAAGTTACTGCTCTGCTCATTAGACCTCCCAGAGGCAATCAGCTGAGCACCTGTTGAACCAGGACATTGGACCTTTGGTTTGATCCAGTATGGCTTGTCTCATGTTCTTTTTATCTGTGAGCTGGGAAACCCTAAGGAAAATTCTCAGCTCAAACCTTAGGGAAGCCACCCCCTAAGCCCCCAAGCCGCATATGTACATTGGAGACAAGAGTATTATCCTAGCTCATAGAGCTGTTGCACAACTTAGTGACAGAGCAACCGCCTGGGATGCAGAAGGTCCCAGTTCCATTCCCCACTGGCAGCATCACCAGGTAGGGCCAAAAACTCTGGACAGCTGCTGCCAGTCAGTGTAGGCAGCACTGAACTAAGTGGGTCAATGTTCTATCTAAAACATAGAAAGCTTCCTTTAGGGAAGTTTTTAATGACTGATGTTTTAATGTATTTTTAATCTTTTGTTGGACGCCGCCCAGAGTGGCTGGGGAAACCCAGCCGGATGGGTGGGGTAGAAATAATAAATTATTGATGATGATGATGATGATGATGATGATGATGATGAAGATGAAGATGATGTTTTAACTTCCATGTGCCCTGCACTGGACATTTCAGAAAGAAGTTGGGGTCCAAAATGTGATAAATCTCTGCTAAATAAATTACAGCAGTACCTCGGTTGTCGAACGTAATCCGTTCCGGAAGACCATTCGACTTCCAAAACGTTCGACAACCGAGGGGTAAAGGGCGTTTGGCAAAGTCAATTGAGAAAACTGAAAAACACGCAGCGGAAGCTGTGAAAGCGTTTGAAAATGGAAGCAATTCCTTCCGGGTTTTCGGTGTCCGAAAACCGAAACGTTTGGCTTCCAAGATGCTCAAAAACCGAGATAAAAGGTAAAGGGACCCCTGACCATTAGGTCCAGTCGTGGCCGACTCTGGGGTTGTGGCGCTCATCTCGCTTTATTGGCCGAGGGAGCCGGCGTACAGCTTCCGGGTCATGTGGCCAGCATGACTAAGCCGCTTCTGGCGAACCAGAGCAGCGCACGGAAACGCCGTTTACCTTCCCGCCGGAGCGGTACCTATTTATCTACTTGCACTTTGAGGTGCTTTCGAACTGCTAGGTTGGCAGGAGCTGGGACCGAGCAGCGGGAGCTCACCCCATCGCGGGGATTTGAACCGCCGACCTTCTGATCGGCAAGTCCTAGGCTCTGTGGTTTAACCCACAGCGCCACCTGCGTCCCTAGCAAAATCCGAGGTACCACTGTATTATTATGAAGATGGATGCAGAATATATATATATATTCATAAGAATATACGGGCACAACAACAGCCCTGCTGGATCAGGCCAGTGGCCCCTTGAATCCAGCATCATGTTCTCACCCTGGTCAACCAACTCTCAGAGCATAAGGGCAGGAATCTCTCCTCCTCCAGTTTCCAATGAGTGGCATTCAGAAGCATTGCTTCCTCCAGTGCAGCTATCGCTCACAGCCATGGAGAACCCTCTCCTCCATGAACTGTCTAATCCTCTTTCAAAGCCACCCAGCTTGGTGGCCATGACTGCCTCCTGTGACAGCGAGTTCCACCAAAACTTCCAACCCTGAGCTTTGTTGGACGTCCACATTTTCTAGCATCAGGAGAGGGAAGAAAACTTTCCTCCCTCCACTTCCTCCATCCAGCTAGAAAGCCACCGTAGATCCCTGATCCCCCCCACTTAGCTTAGCATGTCTTCGCTCTTACCTCTTCTAGTCCTCTCCTCTCTCTTTGTCCACGCACAGCCTCTGCTTTCACTACCAGCAGTGGGGAGAAAACGCAACCGCAGGCAGGGAAAAGCCGGGGACTGGAAGTATCAGCAAAGCGCTGAGACAGCCGAGCGAAGCAAAGTTTCCTGTCTCCTTTGGTATTTTGCATAAGAGGTATACTGTTGCAATGCAGACGAATGCAAGACGCCCGCATTGCTTCCTGCCTAGCTAAATCTCGCTATGGGGTGGGGGGTTGGAGAGAGAAAAAGAGAAGCGCACTAATGTTGGTTACAGTCAACATCCAGTCATTTAAAAACCTCTCAGCATGTTTGTTATGGGTACACAAGCTATCGCCATATCTCGCCACGTTAACAGCCGCTTGCCCCAAGTGATTCGGGGGGTTGGAATCTGACGCAAAACTGTCTGAAAGTCAGACAACTGGACGGGAACATTTTGTGAATGAATGGGGGTGGAGGGTGGGGAGTCCTATACCTGTCAAATCCGCCCCAGAGCGCAATGGGTCGGCTGCAGTTTAGCCAAATCTAGCACCTGTTGATACTACTTAGAAGTGAACCGGCTAACGCAAGGTGCCTTTTTGTGACACGCGGTCAAGGTCGCTTGCAAACCAATTCTGAAACACTCAAGAACAGGTTTAGCTTCGAACAGAGCAACTTTGGCAAGGAGGTCTATCAGGGCAGGATGAGCAACTGAACTATCAACTGCTTAGAGCAGGTAACCGGACAGTAAACAGAAGCCAACCACACACTCCATCCTGTTTTGGGGTTTCCCCTCAAACATATTTTTGAAGAAGCAAAGCAAGTTGCCAGAAAATCCGGTGGTCTGTTCTTGGGTACGCCTCAAGGTTACGTTGCAAAAAATAAAAATAAAACTGCGGAGTATTCTATGAGGAGCTGTGCTTGTCCTTGTTCAAAAAATTAATTTAGTTTTTAAAACCCCATGAAGAACTATGTCCACATTAAACACAACCCAATTTTATTTTTATTTTTGAAAAAATGCCACCACAAAAGTCTTTGTGCCCGCCAAGGATTGCAGCCAACTGATTTTTGTTCAGAATAGACTCACTGGAATTAACGGACCCTTGTTACCAATGTTCATTCATTTCAATGGATCTGTTTTGAGGAAGTGGTACCTCGGGTTAAGTACTTAATTCATTCCGGAGGTCCCTTCTTAACCTGAAACTGTTCTTAACCTGAAGCACCACTTTAGCTAATGGGGCCTCCTGCAGCTGCTGCGCCGCAGGAGCACGATTTCTGTTCTCATCCTGAAGCAAAGTTCTTAACCTGAGGTACTATTTATGGGTTAGTGGAGTCTGTAACCTGAAGTGTATGTAACCCGAGGTACCACTGTAGAAGCATTTCATAAAATAACCACCATGGGGGGGGTTTCAGGCAGGCCCCAAAGTGAGGGGTCACGACACACTCTGAAAGACTTCTGCTCGCCTGCTCACTATCAATGGGTTGGAAACAAGGAAAGAAGAGGAGGACTCAAAACAAGCAAAGTCTTGCGGTGTGTCTCCTCGCCCCACAACAGAAGTCTCCTAGAGCAGTTTGGGTCTCAGGTGGGTGGGTACTTTGTGGGAGGGAAGGAAAGCAGCTCCTCCCCCCGCCGCTTTGTACTACAATACGATACGATATCTTTATTGTCATTGTCCCATACAGAACAATGAAATTGAAAAATCTACAGAAGACATTCAAAACCCCCTAAAAACTCAGAAACCCCATTTTAAAATACAATATACTCCTATAGAGGCTCCTTACTTATACAGTGGTACCTCAGGTTAAGTACTTAATTCGTTCCGGAGGTCTGTACTTAACCTGAAACTGTTCTTAACCTTAAAAGCACCGCTTTAGCTAAAGGAGCCTCCCGCTCCCACCAGAGCACAATTTCTGTTCTCATCCTGAAGCAAAGTTCTTAACCCGAGGTACTATTTCTGGGTTAGCAGAGTCTGTAATCTGAAGCGTATGTAACCTGAAGTGTATGTAACCCGAGGTACCACTGTACTGCGTTTAAAACCAAAATTGCATTTTGATAGAAACTGTTTCTCAGGCGGCTAGTCCTAGTCTTTATAACCCTGTACCTTCTTCCAGAAGGCAGAAGCTGAAAGAGATCATTTCCGGGGTGCACACTATCCTGCGCTATCTCTGCAGCTTTCTTATGGCACCTGGAAGCATAGATTTGATCCAAGGTGGGAAGAGTGCACCCAATTATTCTCTCCGCAGTCTTTACAACCCTGGACAGCATTGTTTTTTCCCTGGCCATGCAGCTCCCAAACCACACACAGAGACCGTAAGTTAATACACTCTCCACAGTACAATGGTAAAATGCCATCAACAAGTCCTTTGAGAGATTGTTTTTCCAGAGGATTCACTACTACTGAAGTTCTTCTTGTTGGGGAAACCCAGCCAGATGGGCGGGGTACAAATAATAAATTATTATTATTATTATAATAAAGGGCTGAGTTCCAGGGCTGTCAGCTGGCCCAAACCCGAGTGCTTTGTTCTTAGCTACTGTAGCGCAGTGGTTAGAGCAAACTGACACTTAAGAACAAAGCATTCCCCGCTCCAGGCACTGACAGAGAATGGAGCGCTCTTCAACTGTCATAGGTTTGGGAGGCATCTAGAAACAATGACAAAAAGAAGAATACTGTGCCACCTTAAAGGGAAACCCAATTCGAAGAGCAATTCGGAGAGGCCAAATTTAAGAGGCAGACTTTATCCAAGGGTTTATAAGCCTCCAAGCCAAGATGGGAGAACTGGGGTGTCGGGTCTTAGTGGACAACATGGATATAATGATAATAATAATAATAATAATAATAATAATAATAATAATAATACCTTTATTGTCAATGTACAACCTGTGTACAATGAAATTAACCGAGCTTCTCCCCCCCCCCACAAACACTCAATCTCATTGAACTCTGTGTGCACAACACACCAACCCTGAAAGTCAGTTGCACTAGATTATTTTCTGTTCAGCAGCCTAACAGCCCACAGATAGAAACTGTTTTTAGCCTCTGGTTTGCCAGAAGTGGCTTAGTCATGCGGGCCACATGACCCAGAAGCGAGATGAGCGCTGCAACCCCAGAGTCGGCCACAACTGGACCTAATGGTCAGGGGTCCCTTTACCTTACGACTGATTATTCTTCTGTATCTCCTGCCTGAGGGTAGAAGATTAAAGAGGTGCTGGCCGGGGTGTGAATTGTCCCTGAGAATTTTTCTCGCTGTCCTGACCTAAGGCAATCTAGAGGGCTCAGGGGACAGCCCATGATATGTGCTGTATTCACCACCCTCTGTAAAGACTTTCTGTCCGTGGCCAACGTACCACACTGTGATACAATACGAGAGGACACTTTCTATTGTGGACCGGTAAAAGGAGGTCATCAACTGTTGTTTAAAATTGTTCTTTCGCAAGACCCTGAGGAAATGGAGTCTCTGTTGGGCCTTCCTAACCACCTGAGTTATATTGTTTTTCCAAGGGAGGTCTTCACTTCTCAGGAATTTAAAAGAAGAGACTCTCTCCACACAACCCCCCCCCCCGATACAATGAGCATCACAGAAACCTGGTGGAACAGAGAGAACCAGTGGGGCATAGGTATCTCCGGCTATAAGCTCTGTAGCAGTGTTTCCCAAACTTGGCTTTTTCTGGACTACAACTCCCATCATCCCTAGCTAGCAGGGTCAGGGATGATGGGAATTGTAGTCCAAAAGCAGCTGGAGAGCCAAGTTTGGGAAACACTGCTCTATAGGAAGGATAGAAGGGCATGCCAGGTGCGGCTATCGCTCTGTACGTTGGAAAGGGCACTGAGCCCAGAAAGCTAGAAATCCCAAAAGGGACAGTAAAAGGTAAAGGGACCCCTGACCATTAGGTCCGGTCGTGGCTGACTCTGGGGTTGTGGTGCTCATCTTGCTTTATTGGCCGAGGGAGCCAGTGTACAGCTTCCGGGTCATGTGGCCAGCATGACTAAGCCCCTTCTGGCGAACCAGAGCAGCACACGGAAACGCCGTTTACCTTCCCGCCAGAGTGGTACCTATTTATCTGCTTGCACTTTTTGGTGTACTTTCAAACTGCTAGGTTGGCAGACGCAGGGACCGAGCAACAGGAGCTCACCCCGATGCGGGGATTCGAACCCCCAACCTTCTGATTGGCAAGTCCTAGGCTCTGTGGTTTAACCCACAGCGCCACCCGCCTCCCAAAAGGGACAGACTCCTCTGCAAAATCATGGCGGGTGCTGATACTGGACCCAAAGAGTAACTTGGCACTGGGGGCTTGCTGTCAATCCCAGGAAGAAGAAGAAGAGTTTGGATTTGATATCCCACTTTATCACTACCCTAAGGAGTCTCAAAGCGGCTAACATTCTCCTTTCCCTTCCTCCCCCACAACACTCTGTGAGGTGAGTGGGGCTGAGAGACTTCAGAGAAGTGTGACTGGCCCAAGGTCACCCAGCAGCTGCATGTGGAGGAGCGGGGAATTGAACCCGATTCACCAGATCACGAGTCCACCGCTCTTAACCACTACACCACACTGGCTCTCGTTGACAGCCCTCTATTCCTCTACTCTACTCTATTCCGAACTTAAAAATGGAAAGCGTAATGCCGGTGGTCAACAAAAGAGGTTTAAAGACTCTTTCAAGGCAAATCTAAGAAAATGTAGGATAAACACCAACAACTGGGAAACATTGGCCTGCGAGCGCTCCAGTTGGAGAACAGCCTTGACCAAAGGTGTCATGGGCTTTGAAGACACTCGAACTCAGGACGCAAGGGAGAAACGTGCTAGGAGGAAGGCACGCTTGGCAAATCCACACCGTGATCAACTCCCGCCCGGAAACCAATGTCCCCACTGTGGAAGGATGTGTGGATCCAGAATTGGCCTCCACAGTCACTTACGGACTCACTTTTAAAACCATGTTTATGGAAGACAATCTTACTTGGCTACGAGGGATCGCCAAAGAAGAAGAAGAAGATTTGAAGGGCTTTCCATTCCATGTTAGATGGGGGGGGGAATAAAGACACCCCCCTCCAAGAAGAGAGAAGGCACCTTGAACCAGCTCATTCACAGTTAGCCTCTGCACAGCCAGCTTAGGGGACACACAGGTCACCGAGTCAAGACTTCCCCCATGGCACAAATGCAATTCACTTTAAACGGCAGGCCTCATTTCTATATTTGCATCAAAACATTTAAGTTTGCACAGGCACTCTGCATTCTGTTGGGAGTGGTGATGCAGAGGCTCCTCACAGGGTCTCTGCCATGGGAGCATATTCACCCAGTGCTTTTCCAGCTGCACTGGCTCCCGGTGGAGTACAGGGTCAGATTTAAGGGGCTGGTTTGGACCTTTAAAGCCCTATGCAGCCTAGGACCCTCGTACCTACGGGACCGCCTCTCCTGGTATGCCCCACGGAGAGCCTCAAGGTCCATAAATAGCAACACCCTAGAGGTCCAAGGCCCTAAGGAAGTTAGATTAGCCTCAACCAGAGCCAGGGCCTTTTCAACACTGGCCCCGGCCTGGTGGAACGCTTTGTCTCATGAGACCAGGGCCCTGCAGGATCTGATCTCTTTCCGCAGGACCTGTAAGACAGAGTTGTTCTGCCTGGCCTTTGGCTTAGAATCAGTTTGATTCCCTCCCCCTCTTTTTCCTTTCTCCTCCTATGAAGAGATTGCACCCTAATGTTTTAATGTTGTCTCTTAATCAACATTAATTGCATTTTAATCAACTTGTTCTTATTATTGGTTGTTAGCTGCCCTGAGCCTGGTCTTGGCTGGGGAGGGCGGGGTATAAATAAATAAATAATAATAATAATAATAATTATTATTATTATTATTAGTGGCCAGCTTTCCTGTTCCGTCCCATTTTTTTGCTACAAACACCCTGGCAGGCAGGTTTTGAACCCTTTGCTCAGAAGAGCTACACAGTCCTGGCCCTATTAATACCTCCCTCCACCCATCTCTCATTAAAGCCCAAAGGAAGAATTTTGCCTGGTTAAAGATTCTCCACTCAAATGTCCTGAGTTTGCAGAAAAGGAACACTCAGAATGCAAATTCCAGGGGTCATCACACAGCCATTTCTTCAGACACTTTCTGATAAAATGTGCCTTTCTCAGCGACTAGCCTTGTG